TTTGATGAAACATAGAATGATACATCATATACACAACATTTAGAAAGACCAAGTACAAAGATCAATTACATACATATATGCATCACCTTAAAACAAATAGTCATGGTGTGATGATTTGGATTCTGAAAAAACTAAAATCACAGAAATAATTGAAGAACTGTTATGTGATATAATCATGATTTTCATTCACTAAAGACAAAGGAAATTAATACACAGAAGTAATCATAACTTCATTCATCAGCAAATAGATGCATACAGTAATAAAACTACTTGATTAACAAACGATAACAAGAAATAGACGGAGGTAATAGGAATATTGGGGAAATCAAAACTAAGAGAGTACATGGTGGTATCGTGTACGGTGTTATCTCGTAATCAGAAAAGCTAAACGATAGAAACAGGAAACTTATACATGCAATTGTATGATACATGGCAGCAAACTATAAGAACAAATTTCAACGAATAAGATGAATCAAACCCAGAATATTTACGGAAATCGCAAGTTGAACGAGCGAAGAGACTAAAAACCCACATAAATTTTCAACAGATCGAAGGATCAGCGTTGGCGTTTGAACAAAATAGATGAAAACCCATAAGTTAACAGCAACATTGGTCAAAGAAGAAGAGATGAAAGAAGAGAAATCGTTGGTAGGATGAAAAGGGCAGAAGTGAGAGGTGATTGAAGGAGGGTTTTGCTTTGCGATGAACTCACCAGACCAGCTTCACAATTGACAAAGAATGTAGATTAGAGGATGATCTAATTTGGGCAGAAATTGAAATGGATTTTGTGGAGATATTATCGGAAAGATGATCTGTGAAAATGGATTTTGAAATCAATCAGATTCTCTTCTCTTCTCTCTGCTGCTCCTGCTTGGCTGCTTCTCTTCTTTCGCCCTCTCCTCGTACGGATATTGGAGCTATCAACCAAATCTAGTTCAATATTTTTAACTATGTGTTGATCTTCACAAGAATTATCGACCTATTTTTGCATTTTCGAGTGTTTGAATAAACAATTTTAAATCCGTGTCAAATTGATAATAAGAAGTTTTTGAAAAAGTTAAATCATTTTAACTTATAATAAGTTGATAAAGATTTTTTGTAAAAAAACATAAGTTGGTATAAACGTCATTTTACTTTTTTTTTTCTTTCACATTTTCTATTAATTAGAAAGAGTAAACTACAATTTTGGTCCTTGTTGGTTTACACCCAACTACGAAAACCATCCCTAAACTTCAATAAGTACAGTTATCGTCTTTATGATTTGTATTTTGCTTTAAAAATGTTCTCTCAACTTAACTCTGCTAAATTTTTTCTCGTTAAGGGGTATTTTCGTCTTTTCACTTTCACAAGGATAAGTTATATAATTTTCTTTTTAATACAAGGACCAAATTGTAATTTACTATAACTTATATTGATATCATATACATATGTGTGTGTATATATATGCATACACACACACACATATATATATATATATATATATATATATATATATATATATA